TTCGGAACCATCTCAAAAGTATTTTGAACAGTTGATCTTGATATCATTTAAAATTTATACCTGCAAAGTCCGTCACCTGTATTTGTGAAGGTTCATCTGCAATTAACCTCCATGACCTGCACAGATTGTAGTAGTTTTTAGAATTTCCTTCATTTGCATTGCTTATCCCATCATTGAAAATGTTTAAAAATCACTGTATTTGTCTCTCCGCCACCATGTGGAAGCGAGACTTAGGTGTTGCTTTTCCAGTGACGGTGGCAGCGTCAACATTAAGTTTAGTTTCACTGAAAGTATAAGTGCTAGACCAACCACATTTGGACCATATATAGATGCATCTTAGGTAGTACATCTCAACCCATGCATCAAATGCTGGATTGCGGCCTACCTTTGATATGGTCCATTTACTTTGTCAGAATCTTGCAACATTAAGTTTTTGCGTTTAAGTTAATTTGACTGAAAGTTTAAGTGCTAGACCAACCAAACTTGGACCATAGATGCATCTTAGGTAGTACATCTCAACCCATGCATCAAATGCTGGATGCGGCCTACCTTTGATGGTCCATTGACTTTGTCAGCATCTCTAGGAACATTAAGTTTGTGCGTTTAAGTTAGTTTCTCTGATATCAAAGCGGGGTATAGGCGAGACATATCAATCAGAATGGCTTGTTAAGCTTTAAATGATACTCAGAAAACACATTCTAGTATATATATACTTACAGTTTTGATGATTTTAAAAAGTTTACATACGGCATGAAATGAACATGCAGTTACCGGCATTGACATATCTTTATCAGCATTTTTCAAAACATAATTTTCAGTGACGGATATGAAATTCTCAATTTGCACTGTCAGCTTTTATAAGATTTTGATGGTAAAATGTACACTTAACAAAAATGAACACATTTTCCTAGTGCAAATTTGATGTGGTTTAGTTTAGAACATACTCATGGTTGGGAGACATCCCAGGATTTAGGCAACAGATGTCTTTTAGACTTTGAACATTTAGTTCATGGTATTAAAATGTGCAGATTAATTACTGAAATAAATTATAAGAATTCACTTTGATGTCAATTAATGCAATCTATTTATATATGTAAATATCAAAGTGAATTCTTATGATTTATGTCAGTCACTATAATCTAAACATTATTATATCGTGAACTTTACGCTTGAAGTCTAAATCTATCTGTCATTTACAACTTGTGATGTCCCTTAAACATTATAAATATATGCAAGTTTTTTTTTTTTAATATTTTTTTAAACACAAACGGGTTCGATAATCTTGCTTTTAGCTCACATTTCAAACATCATTTTTATATTAAAAACAACTTTTCCTGGATACCAATAGGCCGAGGGAGATGATATTTGGTCTGTATAGCATGCTGGGATACTGCAAGGCTCCGGGTTATCAAATTTGTTCAAATTAATGACCTTGATGCTTTGTCAAGGTCACATATGTCAGTTGTGTTAATTACCTTCCAACAACTTATTTTAAACAAATATTAGGCCTATAAAGTGATGATACATGTCCAGTAGCAGATTGTTCAAATGAATGACCTTGACCCAATTTTATGGTCACATATGGGTCAAATGCATCAAAGTCTTTGAACAACATCCTTTGAACATGCAAGACTAGGGTCATGCTATTTGACCTTTAGGATGCTGGGATGAAGGGATTTTAACTTGTTCAGATGAATGACAATCTATGTATGACATTGACTGAGTTTCAAGGTCATAGGGATCAAATGTATGGAAACCTATGAACAACTTCCTCTGAAGAACCAAGAGGCTTTAAATGAGTCATGTTTTTCTGCCAAGTTAGATATGACTGTTATTAAGTTTTTAAATGAATTTGATACTTGCATGCTTTGATGGTCACAGCATTGAGTACCCGATGGAAGCATTGTACAGGCCTATTGCCCCTCTTGTTACTTATTTTGCTTAATTGACCAAACTAGCTGAAATTGTGTTGCTGTTTCAAACTCCCCAAATTTCATGTTTAAATTGAAACATATTTAAGCAAAAAAAGTGTCTACTTTTCAACTTAAAATCCCCTTTTTCATGATAAAAGAAATGCGTCTTGACACAAATTTAGAAATAAATGATGGTTGGAGTAAGAAAAATATTAAAATCTCATGAATAATGGAAATTGTAACTATCCTCATATACCATGCTGAATTCTTCATTAAATATTCTTTCTTGGCCAACAAGAGTTATTAGTAATACCGTAGTCGGAAAAACTCATTTCATAATTGCTGTAAAAAACAGTTTATAAATATTAAATATATATATCTGTAAATCAATTTGTCATATCTATTGTCGGTAATTTATTTTACAACTCAAAGTTTTCCAAAGCAGTATTTCCTTCATTCACCAATTATACTTACAATATTCATGAATTGTTTCACTACTACATCACTTCCAAACACAATCAAAACATTCTCTAATGTTGATCTGTAATCATATAAATTATAATATGAGAATTTTCATCAATATTAAATTGACCTTGGAACAATAAACTAACTCTGTAATTGATTGCAGTGTAATAATGTCAAATGTTCAGGATTGTTTAAAATAATTACATTTGTGATATTTCAAGCTTTTGCAAGATTAATGGACAATTTCTATGTGGGTGTGCTCGTTTGACTATAAAACATTGGTTCTTGGTTCTGGGAATAACATTATATATAGCGCTCACACGCTGAGGAGATCTTGTTGATAACGAATGGTCGCAAACACCAATAAAATCATGTTATCCCTGAAAATGTTCAGGTGACGAATGGGAAATGTCAATTGGATTTTAAGAAAAAAATATTGTAATCAACTTAAAGCTAGGAAAACAGCAGATTGCTGGAGAATGCATTTTTGAAACCGTGAATAAATTTTAAAGTGATGACAATTTTAAGGAAGTAACAAAATGTGACAGCTGTGTTGTTACTTAAGAGAAATAGGTATTATACATTTACCTGACAATATTTTGTTAAAATCAATAAATAATTGATTTTTGTTCAGATATGCTGTAGAGAAATGTAGAGTTTAGGTCATCAGAGGGATTTATTGTTAATTAAATATCGTGATTAATTTCACAATCCCCCTGGATCAGTTTGTAGAGACCAGTTTCCCGAAGAAACCTAACACTGGTGTATTGTATCAGAGCAATTTGATGGATTGAATTAAAAGGAAAATATATATGTATATTTATGAAAGTTCAATAAATGTCAAATTACCTTGCACACATTCAGTAAGGTATTTATGTGTATTGTATCTGCGTCTGTCAAATTTATTAGCTATGTACACTTTCTAAAGGACACTTACTGTGTCACACTAGCAGTTACTATGTGTCTGTGAATGCAAATTACCATTTACACTATTTTTAGGACAATTACGTACTGTAGTATTCAAATTGCCATCTAGTCACTTGTAAGGCTGTCTGTCAGATGTAAATATATTAACTCTCTGTAGGACATTTATGACTGTCATTTCCTGTCAAATGAGCTTGTACAGAAATTGTAGGACATTTATTAAAGTTTTCAAAGTCTGTCAAATTTTCATGTACACTCATTTTAAGACATTTACGGTAGTATATATCACATTCGCTATGTCTGTCAGATTACTGTATACACTTTATGGACATTTACCGTAGGTGTTGGAATCTATTGTGTCGGTCATATAAATGTGTGTACCATTTGTAGGATATTTACGGTATTATATCACTTTCACTGTGTCTCAGATTAAAGTTTACACAACTTTATGGACATTTACCATAGGTGTTGGAATCTTGCGTGTGTCATATAAATGTGTGTACCTTTTTTTAGGGCATTAACGGTAGTATATCGCATTCACTGTGTGTCTGTCAGATTAAAGTGTACATAACTTTATAGACATTTACCGTAGGTGTTCGAATCTGTTATCTGTTGTGCCTGTCCTATGTGTACCTTCTGTAGAACATTTACCGTAGGTGTTCGAATCTGTTATCTGTTGTGCCTGTCCTATGTGTACCTTCTGTAGAACATTTACCGTAGGTGTTCGAATCTGTTATCTGTTGTGCCTGTCCTATGTGTACCTTCTGTAGAACATTTACCGTAGGTGTTCGAATCTGTTATCTGTTGTGCCTGTCCTATGTGTACCTTCTGTAGAACATTTACCGTAGGTGTTCGAATCTGTTATCTGTTGTGCCTGTCCTATGTGTACCTTCTGTAGAACATTTACCGTAGGTGTTCGAATCTGTTATCTGTTGTGCCTGTCCTATGTGTACCTTCTGTAGAACATTTACCGTAGGTGTTCGAATCTGTTATCTGTTGTGCCTGTCCTATGTGTACCTTCTGTAGAACATTTACCGTAGGTGTTCGAATCTGTTATCTGTTGTGCCTGTCCTATGTGTACCTTCTGTAGAACATTTACCGTAGGTGTTCGAATCTGTTATCTGTTGTGCCTGTCCTATGTGTACCTTCTGTAGAACATTTACCGTAGGTGTTGGAATCTGTTATCTGTTGTGCCTGTCCTATGTGTACCTTCTGTAGAACATTTACCGTAGGTGTTGGAATCTGTTATCTGTTGTGCCTGTCCTATGTGTACCTTCTGTAGAACATTTACCGTAGGTGTTGGAATCTGTTATCTGTTGTGCCTGTCCTATGTGTACCTTCTGGAGAACATTTACCGTAGGTGTTCGAATATGTTATCTGTTGTGCCTGTCCTATGTGTACCTTCTGGAGAACATTTACCGTAGGTGTTCGAATATGTTATCTGTTGTGCCTGTCCTATGTGTACCTTCTGTAGAACATTTACCGTAGGTGATCCTAAGTCTCTCCCTGTGTATCAGTCAGATTATATTTTATGAATTACCTACACAGCACATCAAATAACGTTTTCAATCTGTAAAAAGCAAGGCCGTTAAATTGACTGATCTCCCATGGGTGTGTGTTGTATAGTAGCTTAGCATGAGTTGTACACATAGTGTATGAATAATTAATTACTGTATGTTTTTATCGGTGTACTTTCAGAATGTGAGGAGACAATGGTGGAAGCCGTTTGCCCCTACAGCGTCCTAGATGTGGCTCAGCTGCTACAGGCCAATTTTGCCTTTGTATCAGGTATGTAGGAGTAACTGGGTAGGGCACGAGGGCCATGTGGGGCCAGAGGGATTTAAAATTTGGTGTAACCCGAGGGGTTAAGATGGAACATGGGGATTTTTGAGAAAGGGTTAAGGGTTATAGTGGCCTAGATGGATGGGAGCTTAAGACTGTGGTGTTGAGTGTTATAGTAGGTTTATGACGAAGTAGATGGTTTGGGTCAAGCTGATTCGATGGATTGACAACATTCATAATGGTAAGATGGAAAAGATTGAATATTATTGGTTGGTTTATGGAGCAGGATTTTGGTAGTAAAGCTGAATTATTAATTAGAGGAACTTGGTTGGATTTCTAGAGTTGGAAAAAATGGGATGTGAATGAGCTTTAATTTACTTATAGGATTATATATAGGGATGTTATAACTCACCCCTTTTCATAGTTTTCGTTGCTGATATATATTGAAAGAGTTTGCTTTTCAAGACCCTGAGTTCAGGGTCAAGGTCACTGGCTATAAATATGAATATTTGTCCTGGCTCTATATCATCTTCATCTTGAAATGAATTTTGATGAAACTTAATTTTCACAGTGTTTAGCAATAAGACAAGTTTACATCTCAGGATCTTGAGTTTTATGTCAATTAAGGTCACTGATATTGAAAAATGAAAAACTACTAATCAAGTTTGGATATGTTCATGTAATGGAGGCATTCATATGTTTCACAATGTCAAAGTTCTTGATTAGGGTGGAAATTGTTGTAAATATAATAAAATATCTTTTACATGTGTACATATAATCTAGCCATGATTGTCAGTAGAGATATTTAAATATATTTGTCACATGCAATATGTGTTCAAATAGACAGTGAAGAAACAGCTGAGATTCTGATGATGAATGTCAATGGTCCAATGTCAAAAACAGCTGAGCAGCTTATGAAGGTCATAGGTCCTAATGTTAAAACGGTTCAAGAGCTGCTGAAAGTAAATGTCAAAGGTCAAATGTAGAAACAGCTGGTAATAAAGTTCATAGGTCAAGTTCACAAATAAAGATTTGCCCCTGTTTTGCATTAAAGCCAGTCACATGACATCTTTTCTATGTGTTTTACTGGTTTCATAGTAAAGAGTAAACATCGGTGACCACCATGTTAAGACTGGACCTAAAGTAACCTGTCTCAAACAATATTTCTCTGTTGAGAATTTATAACACTGTGCTCGAAATAAGTCCTCCCAAGTTACATGATAGTGTTGTGTGATCAATGTACATATCATTCATGTAATGTACATATCAGTCACTCAATTTTCATTTCAATCAGTCATCTTGCAGTAGAACAGACTGGATTTAAATGTCTCATGTACATTATTACATGATAGTGTTGTGTGATCAATTTGCATATCATTCATGAAATGTACTTATCAGTCACTCAATTTTCATTTCAATCAGTCATCTTGCAGTAGAACAGACTGGATTTAAATGTCTCATGTACATTACCCTAACATCATAGTTAAACCATGAACCACTAAAAGTTTGAACCCGGCTTGTGGAGATTTGTCTATTGAGCAATATATATATACCATTAGTGGTGATTAGTGAACTGTTATATGCATCATGCATCATTGGAAATCATGAATATTCAACAAGTATGTATCATGGATATTCAGCAAGTATGACACAATTAAATCAATACTCTTCACAATGTACTGCAACCATCCATCCTGACCTTTTATAATTTATCTTTTAAGGGATCAATTGATTACAGGCTTTTTGTGATCTTGAATTATCTTCCAATTCAAATGTTGGAACAGTTCATTATGAAAGTTCAGGGGTTAATGAGTTAAAGTCATCTATATTTGGCAAGACTCTGATGAGTGTCTTGTGAAACTAACACATGTTGTCTGAGACCAGATGTTTTCAGTGAACACCTACCTGTCTATAGAGAACACTCACATGTCTGCCACCAGTGAACACCTACCTGTCTATAGAGAACACTCACATGTCTGCCACCAGTGAACACCTACCTGTCTATAGAGAACACTCACATGTCTGCCATCAGTGCAGGTCGGCGAAAGACTATAGGCCTGTTATATCCCACTGCATGAATGTAAGAGGCAACTAATGTGGGGGGCCTCCTGCAGAATCAGGGGTAGACTTCTTCCTTGTCTTCCTCTATTTAGGGGACATTGAAGAAATCAGGAACAGACCTACTGTATCTCACAGCATGTGTATCATAAAAGGGGACTAATGTGGAGCCCTGCAGAATGGAGAGTTTCCCTTTGTATCTTATATAAAGGGGACATGGAATAGATGGAAATTGATCTGCTGCCCCCATTGCAACACTTGAGATCTTTTTCGTTTCCTATCTTTCTGTTTCCGGCGGTATCTTCCTCGGCACCCGTCCCCATATGACCCTGGGTGTTGTGTTTCCCTAGGCATCCATCTTCATATGACCCTGGCTGTTGCGAGGACGTTAAACCCCAAACAAACAAGAAAACAAACAAACTGTATCTGTTGTAAACTAAATGTTCTACAGACTCGAGAAAAATACTTGTCATTTTTAGAGGTACTGTACATCAGGTATGTGATATTATATAATTATGACATTCATTAGCAGGTGGCAGTTAATATTGTCAACCTGGGAAAACCTTTGTCACCCGAGGCGAAGCCGAGGGTGACAATGGGTTTTTGAGGGTTGATAATATTCACTTTCATCTGCTAATGAATGTCATATCTATTTTGTTACACCAAAAGTCTTTGTAGCTCAGAAACGGCAGCAAACCTTGATAATGAAATCTTGTTTGTGGATAGTCTGCTGTTTACAATCGCTATGGCAACGGTGCTTGATAAAATTGGCTGTTGCCGTCAAACGTTCTTGTGACCATCACGGTGGGGAAACGAAGCGGGGAACGCACATTTTTCGCGCATGTGATATTTTTCACTGTCTCATGGCAATACCACCCACGCCCCTTAAAACCAATGTATTTTCGGAGGGTGACAGAAATTTTTGTTTAATTTTCTCCCAATTAATCAAATAGCTAGAAATTCACTTGAGGTGTAACAATGATATATATATCTTATGACTTGCAGGTGGGAAGGCGAAAAATGGGGCTCCCATCATGACGTTTCCTGAAAACCCTCAGCAGCCTGATATTACAGACAGTGACTACAAGAAAATAGTTCACTACCTCTCCTGCATACCACCGTAAGTAAAAAAGCAGTTCATTACCTCTCCTGCATACCACCGTAAGTAAAAAAGTAGTTCACTACCTCTCCTGCATACCACCGTAAGTAAAAAA